AAATGAGAAACAATGACATGAATTAGAATTGTTGTCAGGAAATTCTTGATGAAATTACCCAATGCGAGGTTATTAATATCACCAAAGAATGTACGCATATTAATATTTCAATTATTGAAAATACTCAAAAACAGCTTTACCACAACGACTAAAATTAAAAGTATACAAGGCCGCTCGTTTATTAGAAATTTATGCGGCGAATTTTGCGTATAAATTCCGGAGTGACACCAGAGGTAGGAGTGACACTAGAGGCAGCAGAGGCAGGAGTGACACCAGAGCAGAGTGACACCGTATACTTTTTTTAGATCGGCGTGCATTAAAATTTGAACAATGGGAAGATCATTGATAGTTTTCTTTTTTAAATCAAATCTGCGCGCTCAATAAACAATCGTTTGATACTCCTTTATTCAGAATGAAAAAAAAAAGATGTCACTTTCTCGATTTAGGAGACTACCGAGATAAAAAAATGCGTCTGTTACCCCAGAGACGGCACTTACCAAGATGGTAGCTAATAAGATATTCCATATACGTATATTAATATGTGCACGTATGTAACTAATTATAGCGATCAGACAAAGACAAAATCTACGTGTTTCCTTTTTGACTAATGCTTGCATGAAGATCAAACGTCTTTTTTTGCACATATCAAACATCTTTTTTTGTACGTATCAAACACACATTTTTGCTGATCAAACACTGGTACTAACGTAACTTAAAAATCTTGGAATCCCAAAAAAAAAAATGTATATAAACACATGCGCAATCTCATTATTCAATTCAATTCTGGTCTATACTAATAATACACGATACATTAATGCACGTTAAAGAATCGCTTTCAGAATTGTCTGATACAAACCAATGGTCGTTGTCGCAAAGAAGAACAACAGTATCATCACCATTTCTCAAATACCCCGAATTCCCTGTCAAAGTACAGTGTCCACATTGTAGTCAATTCGTAACTACAGATATCAGATATCGCAATGGTGCATGCACCTATTTACTAGCGTCAGGTTTACTTATGACAACAGTGGTATTATTCTGGGTTCCATTTTGTCTCAAAGCGACAAAAGGTATGCAACAAAAAGTAAATGATAATGATCGTTTTATTGTGTTCTGACATTCTAACAGCTATCATCTTTCTCATAGATGTAAAACATGTTTGTCCGCATTGTTCCAATAACCTCGGA